AGCATCTCATCCAAAGCATAGCAGACAATAATGTAGAGCTATCCCCAGTACTGCATTGGAGTTGAAGTGAAGGGTTCACACTTGGTGTACTATGATTCATGATAGTTCCAAATGTCAATGTATCTATGAAAGAGTTTATATGATATATTTTCAAATAAATATGACTCATCTGAAAAAAGCATATTTACTAGAATTACTGGAAAGACTAAAGTCTAAGAATCAGGTTTCGTAAGAACATAGGTCTGTTACATACCGAACACCAGAGCATCAATTAACCCAAAGCACTAAAAACTTTATTTCTTAGCTTGTAATTCATGTTAGACAGCAATATACACATAAAAACAAGGGTAAATTGTATTGCATTAATGCAACTGGGACAACTCTATTTGTGATTTCTTTACCTCCAAGATAAAAGGATCATCGGTCAATGAAAAAAATGATAACAGCATTTCAGTACAATCATCCAATTTATTACTGTTTGGAATTTAAATAAATTGCACGAACTTCTAGGAAGGCATGCTCGAGGATGGCACAATTAGTTACAGTACCATATGTTGATGCTATAAGTGAGGTCTGCTGTAGGCAATGTTATCAGAATGTATAGCAAAATACATTTGTTGTAACACTGTGTTATTGAGTCCATTCATTAAATAAATTAATTCATTAACATGATTGTCCCATTGCCAAAAATAAGATCTATCTGTATGATCTTTTGATGATATTGCCTGATTACATGGCATGTTCAGAAAGCCATTGTTTAAGGTATTAATTATACACTGTAATGGGTTTTATTTCAAAAGCTCTGAAAGAATTTTTCATTGCTTAATGGTTTTAACGTGCCATCTGTAAACAACCCATCATAAATTAACCTTGATGTTTGTACTTGCAGTGTGAAATATTTAACAAACAAATGTGAATTTTAACCTCCTTAATGCAAGGGAGGGCAGTGATGGGGAATGGAAATGTTCCCACTTTTGCATCCAGCTGCAGTATTAAGCTCTCTGATGCCAAATGTAGGAAGTGAAAGATAAGGAAGAAAAGCTGTATTACATACCCAGAAAACTACATTTTAGTGATGCAATAGTTCCATTTCTCACACCGGCTTTCATTAATGGTTTTCTGGTTCAGGCAGCCTAATTTATGTTAAATAATAGACAGTTTAAGTAAGACCTTACTTAAGGACCCATTAGGAAACCTATTTCACTTAGGACTCCTGTTGTTGATTAACTGTGAATACTTGGGGTTAATTTCAACCCTAGGTCTCCAACCCACTGCGACGCCCAATCCATTCATGAATTAAATGCTAAATAAATAAGAATCCTTGCATTTAATATAATATCTCAACGTCCTTCCCAGGAATTTAGTATGAAGTGTAGAGACTGTTTATTTGTAGTCGAATAATAAACATTAGATTTGCTTCTAATGGAATCAAAACCAACAAATCGAACCATATTTATATTATACAAGCTCAAATTCACCTTTCTGTTAAATATCTGAATATACTCTGTAAAAATACTGAATTTAAATATGCCGATAAATTACATGTTTTTTTTGATTGTGTGACAATATTCAATCTTTTATTCCTGCCTATGTCTTACTGTCCCAAATTAACCCTAAGTAAATAATATTTGGATACCAATTAAATTATTGGGAGCAAACCTCCAGGAAACAGGTATAGACGTGGTTGTTTGCGTGGAAGTGTGGATGTAAGGTGCATTTTATTGAAATGGGAACAGAATCCATCCTCTTAATTATTCACTGTGCTCTGAAATCAAGAACGCATCAGCACAGTTTAGAAGCGTGAAATTAACTGATTCAGCCATGGACGAAAGAAACTCTGTTTAATTTCCCACTACCGCAGATCATGTGTAGCTTGTGTGTCGTTTTTGGATGTTCATAAGTGTTTCGAACATCTTGAACACACTTACACGTGGGAAGTCCAATGCTTAATTGTGTGAAAAATGTGATATCAGGGCTTTAGGTGTGTGTGTGTATATATATAATAATAATAATAATCCTTGCATTTGATATAGCGCTTTTCACGTCGGGAGGACATCCGAAAGCGCTTCACAGAAACACACTGTAAAGTGAATTGACTGTATATTTGTGGGCGAATACATAATATATATAAATCATAAATTGAGTTTCAATCATACCACAAATCTTTGGCAGTGCGGCTCATTCACACATCAGTAACACACCTCTGCTTGTTGCAATATCCAGTCAATATCTATTTATGTCAGCATAACGCTGGCTGATAAAATTAGATCGGATGTTTTCATCACATGTAATCCCAAAACTGCGTATTGGGGGAAGAGCTTAAAAATATCTCTACTGTCAGTTTTGTCTGGAATTGTCCAAAAGTGCGACTGCAGCTCTGGGCGTTTTATTTCATATATACAGTCTGTGTGCATATAAAAAATATATATCACAATCGACTGGAAAAGATGTGTATTTGAAAGATGACCGAATCTTGGACAAATGTATAGCCTCCACCACTCTTTCTGCTCTCATCGTTAAGAACACAACATAGTTCAGAATACCTTCAAAGATGACAGCAGAAATATTTTTTTCCACCCACCCCCCCCAAAAAAAAAAAAATGCTGTTAGAAAGCTGAGACCTGATCTGTGTCTTCGCATTCAACTCCTGCAAATGCTCTCAAGGACCGACGACTTACGTGTCGAGGGTTTATAATGAAGTTACTTCTGCGGGGATTTGGGTACCAAAAAAAAAAAAAAAAAAAATCTGATCAGGAAAATCGCTGTGGGGGATAAGACATCCATCACACGCCTCCTTCATAGGAAGGAGCAAATGGATTATTTATCAGTTCATATTGTTGCAGATTGAGACTTAGGAGAGGAAATTGGCTGCAAATCTCACCCTCCCCTCCCCTCCCCTCCCTCCCTCCCCCCCTCCCTCTGTGCCTCTGGCATTTTCCTTTGCTGTCACTGGTGGCGTGGAAAGGAGGTTGGGAGTGGTCTCGTGTATTTTTTCGCTCGGGTTGTGGATGCATAATACATCCTAACTCTTTCGGGGAAGGGGGTGAGATGAGAGCAGTTTGCAAACCGCACTCGCCACACGCAACAGACAGCACTACCTCGAATCGGACGGCGTTCTCCGCACTTCTGCGGTCCGACGGTCGGTCGAAGGCATCACCAAAAATTGCTCACTTGTCCATCCCTTAACCCCCCCCCACCCCCCACCCCCACCCCCCAAAAAAAAAGAAAGCAAAGCGGAGTTACAACTGTCTGCACCGGGTCCCCCTCCTGCTCCCGGTTTTCTGGGGTATGTCATGCAGTGCTTTGCTGGTCGGGCAAAGGCATCCTGTGGCAGTCTCTCTGGCAGGTGGTGAGCTATGGGCAGCGCAGCGAATGGCCAAGAAACAAAAGAGCGTCTCCGCAGATTTGCCGGTGAGAGCTCCGGGGTCCCTGTTCTAACGTTTCGCACACTCCGCATCACACGCGAAACCAGTCGCTGCGTTGGGAACAGGAGTCACACACACACACACACACTCACACACACACACAGAAAAACACACACACGAGGCTCCCCGGAATGCCAATCTTTTATTTCGTTTATTTAATCACAGCGCCTGCGGGGAAGGGGGGTGGGTGGTGGGGGTGGGGGTGGGGGGTACGTCCTCCCGACGTGAAAGGCGCTCTGTCAATGGAATCGTGTTGTTGTTGTTGTTGTGTCGAGAATATTCCCAAATTGGCACACAGGACAGTCCGGCCGAGAATTCAGCGTGGAATCCCGAATGGTTTGAATGGGAGATGCAAAGCGAGTCTTTTCTGTGTTGTGTGTGTGTGGGTGTGTTTTTTTTTTGGGGGGTGGGGGGGGGGGGGGGGTGGGGGGGAGGAAGGGGAGAGGGTGTGTAATAGTTATAGTAATGCAAATCTGCATCACCTATTGCATACTGTATGCACATCTCTCTCGTGTTTTGCCCTTTAGCTGTACACACATCAGTGATTTCTCTTTGTTCTGAAGCTCCATTTCAGTTCGTCTTTCAACACCACCCACCACCCCCACCCCACCCCACTCCATCCCCCCACCCCACCCCACTCCATCCCCCCCACCCCACTCCACTCCATCCCCCCCACCCCACTCCACTCCATCCCCCCCACCCCGTGAAAAAATACGCGAGATTTTTTTGCAAACTTGACACAAGAAAATCCAAATGAGGTGCATTTATTTTTTAAAAAATCCTCGGTAGCTGCTTTCGCCTTAATTCGCGTTTTAAAAAAATGGTACTTCTGTGTTACTATACTTCATTGAATAGAATGTACTTTGCGCCCAAATCGTTTTAATGGGAAATGCAATGCGAGTCTTTTCTGTGTTGTGTTTTTTTGGGGGTTGGCGGGTGGGGGGGGGGGGGAGGGTGTGTAATAGTTATAGTTATGCGTGAATCATGTGCTGAACATTGCCCTCATCATTTGCAACTGCATGTGTCTTGCTTGCAGCGAGCGTATCGGTTGGAATCGACAGGCTCCCAAGGGTGTTTTTTTGTGGGTGCAGCCCAGATCGTCTTATTTTCTCGAGACGCTGTAAGAAAGTTTTATTTCGAAAACCTGCACCAGGTCCCCGAGCTTGGCAGCGTTTTAACCTGAGCACAATCTTGTGAATCTCCTCCCTGCAACAGATCCAATGAATTGAATTGACTGTAACTGACGTAATGCTCCAGAGAAGCAATGTGAGACCAATTCTCTCGGCTCCATTCACTCCCTGCAGCTTGTGGACAGGACCTCTGTCAAAACATGCCATTGACAGCACATGGAATCTGCATCAGCAAATCTTCACGTTAATGAGTTCAGCCAAAAAAAGACAAACAGCAACAAAAAAAAGTCTTTCAACGTCTTGAAGAAAATAAGAGAATGGAACGAGGCAAACTGGCGTTATTTGTCTCTCCCTCTCTCTGAGAGTTATTGGTATTCTCAAACAACTGCCTAGGAATGGGTTGTGGAGCAGAAGCTCTTGTTGATTAGACCCCCCCCCCCACACACACACACAAACGGTATATACAGCATTGGTATTTTAATTTCTAGGACCCATTGACTCTATGGTCGTGTTTCCGTTTTGTTTTTAATTAAGAAGACCGTCTCGAAAATGTGTTTTGCCAACAAAATATAATATCGAAATAATACATAAAATATCATTGAGTGGAGGACGGATCCTGGGATATCAGTGATATCAATCAAGGGGGCTGGAAAAATGGAAACTGCGCCGGAATATTCACTTTTTCTCATAAGGATCTTGGAAGAGCTGGATGCAAACCACAGCACGGTTTCTTACCAGGATCTGTGCAAACTGCTGTGTGCTCGGTTTGACTTAACTCATCTGGCAAAGCTGAGAAGCCTCCTCTTTTACACAGCTTGCCTGGACCCTAATTTCCCAGCCACTCTGTTCAAAGAGAAATTGAGGTGCACAGTGGATGACCAACAGTCTAAGAAGATCATGGTCGCCGCTGATATAGTCACCATGTTCAACCTGATCCAGATGAACGGCGGGGCTGCTAAGGAAAAACTGCCTCATCGTCGCCAGCATAAGGTTAGGAGAAATGAGTCTTTTGAATCGTGCCGCTCAGACACCGAAATCTGCAGAATCAGGTCGATGGATTATGCATCCAAATGCAGCTCTGTGGACAGGGACGAGTGCAGTGATCACTCCACATCCAGAACTTCCACTATTTGCACCACATCCGACTGTAAGGACTGCCAGAGACTCATCTGCACTTCTGACCCCAATTTCTTCTTGGAAGTCAGGGATGAGGGGCTCGACGGCGACAAGGGCCGAGCAGCCTCGCTTGACCGATTGCAGAGGTCGCCAACTTTCAACTGCATCAACCCGCCGCCATGTGTCATGCAAACCACCTACTTCCCCATGGATCCGGACCAGGAGTCCCTGTCTGATCAGGACTCCCTGCCCAGGAAAACTGACAGGAATGGGACCTTTGACTCGAGCGATGAGCCTTTCATCATTAACCCCTGCTTGCAAAGCAGGACCGTGTTCAGCGATGAACTCCAGGACCTCCTCCCCTGCGTTCCTAAGTTGATCCCGATTAGGAAAGATTCGGAGGATGAGTATCAGGGGCCCCACACTCGAAAGAACGGCCCACGTTTCTCCAGCTTTTTCAGCAATAGCTTTGAATTGCCGTACAGCAACCCTTACTGCGATTCGGTGCGATCAACCAGTCAAGAAAAGAGGTACGTCAAGCACGAGAGTTTGGACGATCTTCAAGGATCTACCTACTTTGGGCCAAGCACCATAGCGCAGGAGCCAAGGCGCTTTCCTGGGAAGCCAAGCAAGCAATCAGCCTGGCCCGTCAAGAGCTGGAGCCTCAACAACGAGGAAGTTGAGGACTTCGACAAATCTTTCTTCACTGGAAAAGCCAACGAGAAAAGCCACGGTTACCAGAGCGGTGCCAAACAACAGGAGTTGGTCACAGGCGGTCGGCAGAGACTGGGCAAGGAGTTGATCAGCACCATGGACAGAGCCCAGCCCCAGTCTTACCAGCGCCCCAAAGGCAAGTCCAACCTCAAACAACAGGCTGACAAACCCTATGGGCGTCAGGCCAACGAGTACAGCAAGCCCCAAGCAGACTTGGTGGGGCAGAGCTCCAGGGAGAACCCGAGGAAGCTGAAGGACACGAGCGTTAACTGCATCTCACAGATCCTGAATTTTGACCACAGCTCCAGCGTGGGCACTCAGACCGACCAGGCGGCGCGCCGCAAGCGGAAAGACGCGGGCAGCGTCGGTCACGGCAAATATGGGGAGAAAGTGCCCCTCAAGCAGTCCGACGAGGAGGAGTCGGAAGGTCTGAGCGACGACATCAGTGACATTTTCAGGTTCCTGGACGACATGAGCGTCAGCGGCTCCACGGGGCTCCTGCAGTCCTGCTACAACAGCAGCGGCTCGCTGTCCCGCCTGCCCAGGTCTGACTGCGAGAGCACCCCAGAGCGCACCCCGCAGCTCAGGGTCGGGCCGGGCGCCTCTCGCAAGGACCTGTTGGACAGGGCGCGTTTGGCCCACGACCAGCCCGGCGGCAGGCCAGGCGATCCCGGCGACGAGGAGCTGAAGATGAGCGTGTGCAAACTGGTGCTGAGGATCGGCGAGATCGAGAGGAAGCTGGAGAGCCTGTCCGGTGTCCGAGACGAGATCTCCCAGGTGTTGGTCAAGCTGAACAAGCTGGACGAGAAGATCCAGGAGCCGCAGCCACCGCCACCGGCGCCACTGACACTGGACAAGTTCAACAGCGAGGGTCAAGCCGAGAGCCACGGCCACAACCACAGCTCCTCTCCAGGCAATGCCCAGCGCCAAGCGTCCGAGACGGGGGTCAAGGCGGAGAGCGCCTGCCAGCGCCCCAGCTCCGACACCAGCCAGAGCAATAGTAACAGCGCCAGCGCCAGCGCCAGCAACAGCGAGAGCCTCCGCATCAAAGCCCTGAAAAAGAGTCTGTTCGTGCGGAGGTCGTCCAGGTCTTTGACCGAGGAAAACAGCAACACCGAGTCCAAGATCGCCAGCATCTCCAACTCCCCGCATGACTGGAGAGCCGCGGGTTACGCCAATGAGTCGGTTATCACACTGGAGGAGAGCAAAGCTCGAGTGCAGGCAGAGTGTAAGGACTGGCACCGGAAATCCAGAGAGGTATTCAACTACTTTATGGTAACGATTTGACCATCTCTTTCCTCGCTCGCTACCCTCCACCCCTCCCCCTCCCATCCCTTTTTTTTTGTTTTTTTTTACTGGAAAAACGCTGATTGGATGAATGATGGTGGTCCATGGCCTTTTGAGATGCTCACGGTAAAAGGGACACCTTTCCGGGCACATGTTGGAGCAGTTCATTTGGTATTCTGGCACCAATGTCATTTCCAAACGAGCGCAATAGAGAATCTTGATGATTCATATCTTGCAGATATAGAGTATGATGATTCATATCTTGCAGGACATACAATATAAATATGTCAAGCATCCCCCACAGAATGACAAACTTGAAGGTGCAATATTTGTCCTATCTATGTCAGGCATCATTTAGAAGTGAGGGTTGTTAGTTGGCACCATGTCCTTAGAGATTAATCACTGATGTAAACAACACAAAGGGTCCCAGGTTCAATTCTTGAGTGGTGTTACTGGGTACATCTGCGCAATCAGATATGCCTACGAAACGTTTTGCCTACAAATACACTTGAATCCACTTTACAGTATATTCTGCGAAGCGTTTTGAGACATCGCAACAACATGATACGGCGCTATATCAAATGCAAGGATTATTATTATTAACCTCTCTGATGTCAAGCTAATTGATCATCTGATTTACAACTTCATTGTTGATCCAATAAGATCTTATTTTTTATTTGGTACATTGTAGAGACCTTGTGAAATTCTCGCACAATTAAATACATAATGTCTTACACCTTAGCCTCAATCAGTAGTTTTATTCTATGCTTAAGGAACAAGTTGAGGATGTGGCCTGTCTTTCATCGACCCACGTTGGCGTGAGAACTGTCACAGAACGGGTTATAATGATCCCCAGTATTTTTCACCAAGGTAACAATCTGGCAGGTCTATGATTCATAAATCATAGGTCTGACTTTTTTTGAAGATTGGAATCATGTTGGTCATCTTTGTGTACCATGAGATGTTCAAAATTTCCACCAGTGTAAAGTGTACACCAGTATACATTTACTCTCTCTCTATATATATATATATATATATATGGATTTGGGTGTATTACATGTAGGTCTAGAATCTAGATAGATTATAAAAATAAAATTGGGTTGATTCAGTGTAGAAAGTCGTCACATTCTCTGATGGAGTTAAAAAATTTGTATCGTATTCACTACTTCTGATTCTATTTCATCACTAACATCTGGACATTTCTATCATTTTAATTGGAGTAACATATTATTTCATTAGTTTTGCCTAATTATAGAAAAAAACTTGCATTTCTACAGCTCCCATAACATTGAAACATCTCAGTGTTTCACAGTAATTATTGTGAAGCGTAATGACTGTTTTGCAAACATAAGCAACCATTTTGCACATTAGAAAGTCCCACTCACAGACTTGATTTGGAAGGTTATTGGCCGGGACACCAGGAGCAAGTCCTTCTCTTTTTCATGGTGGCATGGGACCTGAAGAATAAACACATAGCATCAGATTTTAACATCTCATCTGAAGAACAGAAATTCTAACAATGCAGCAGCACAGCATTTCCCAGTACCTCACTAAAGTCAGCCTAGATTATGATCTCAAGTCCCATTATGGGATTTGAACCCACAACCTTCTGATCAGGAGGCAAGATTGCTAAATTGAGCCAAGATGATACTTTTAGATCAATTTTCCACCATGGGAGCAGTTATGGTCTTGTAGCAGATTTCCACCTTTCCAGGTTGTTCTCATAATGGTATGTGAAATTTAAATGTCCTTTTTTCCATACCACTATGCCAATGTTGGATATGAAATAATTAATTCAATGTCTGTCACAAAGTTGTCTATATTGATCAAGTATCACTGAATGATTAACTGCTGTACACAGTGTGCCAAGTGACTGTCAGAATTAGATTGAACTGAGGAATATCCTTTGGTTTTTTTTCTGTCAGAGAATTTAAACATATGAACAAAGACTTTAATTGAACAAACACAAATCCAGTCACCTTGAGATGAAGAGATCTCCGCCGTAGCAATATTCCACGTGTCATCCATACATTACAATTTGTGCGGAAGCTTCACAGCTCAGGTAATAATGACTACACCCAATTTTCATTAGGACACAGAATCACTGGATATCTTACCAGAGTTGTCATATCAGCACTGATACACAGCTTGGCTTTCATATGCATTGTGAAATAATTTGAGTTTGACAATGTTTGTTATGTAGGTATATTATCTCCAGCAGTGTCTGGGTTTAGTGGTAGTTAGCACGTCTACATTTAATAAAACATCAGGGCAGGCATTATGCAGCAAAATGAGTCAGGAGCACATTTATGTTGGCTGATCATGTTACTATGCAGGATGGGATGACAGTGTCTCTCTATGTGTCTGCTCAAATACCTGAATGGAGTGTGATTTCCATCACAGGCAGGTAGAATAGTGGGGCAGAAAGATAAGCAAAGTTTGTTTTTTTAAAAAGGTAGAAAAATATAACCATCTATGATTGCAGTGTAAGAAGAGGAGATGCGCTGATTGTAGTTTCTTATGTTGATGTTTAGTCAGCACTAGGAAAGTGATGACGTTCATTGGAACTAGAGTGAGGAAAGTCACACTGCTTCACTAACCCTGGGAATGTAATATAAATGAAGTATTAAACCTCTGATTTGCCAATTGCAAGCAGGGAACAAAGTCTGCTCTATCTATCCTCTCAACTCTGTCATTAAGTGATTACGACGTTTTTGCGGGTTTCGTTCATTATGTTTAACGATACTGATAGCAATCTCATCAGTCTTGTGTTGCGTTTATTATTGCTGGGAGCGAAGTTGGTGGACCACAGGGGAGAAAAATCAGTGTGATTGTGGCCATCACGTTTATAGGGCACTGATGTAAATCCCACTGCTCAAGAGATTTGTGATTCATGCTGCCTGAGCTCCCATTTATACTGTGTATTCGCTGATGAATGTTTTTGATTCATTGCCATATGTGCAGGTCTTGTAGAAGCACAAACGAGAAAAGAGCCTGATCAACATTATAGAAATGCACTTATTCTGTGGTCAGGTTGAAGATCTACAATATTATTATTTTAGATGTAGAATTTGACATATTCAGGCCATGATATCATTAGCACATATATGCTCTTTTGTTTCTTTTTAGTTTACAATCATCCTCATTCATGCCAAAATATTTTTGCATTATTTTGATTGGGGTGTTTTTCGAGTGACTGATATGGACATGTGATCTTCACCAAGGAGATTTGACAGTGCAGATCAATGCTAACTATCCACTGCATTATTAAACAAGGATGTACTTGTAAATCTCTTTATTGCTTGAGTGCTGGATATCTGAGGCACAAAATGATTCATGATTTTCTTTTTATGAACATAATGTGAATTTGACTTTTTAAAAAAATTCAGCTTAAATGGAACCGTATTTCTGAGTCCTCTGGTCTATAACACGAACGTTACAGTGTCTTCATAACTTTTGAGGAGACATAGATTTCCTTTGCTCATTAGCTTCCTCTGAATCATTTATAAAACTGGTCTTCAATTTCTGAGCCTTTCATTGTCACAGGTATAAATCTGGCTTGTGTGTGCAGTATGATGTTTAGGTTTCCAAAGATATCATTCTGTTTTCTTATTTTTTGAGATTCATGAGCCTCTTGTTACTATTGCAATTACATGATAGGTTCAGTTCAGAAACTTTCATTGATTTGATCTCATCCTTCCAGAATGTCCACACTATCATCTCCACACATCAACTGTTTCTTAATTGTTTATTGTTTTTTAGAATGTTTCTGATCTTAGTTCCTTTACATGTGAACCTGTGACTCTGCTCTGTTGCTTGTATATCTGAAGCATTAATATATACGTTTGCTTTTTCTGTCCCATTAAATGTGCCTCAAATATAGCCTATCAGAAATGTCCCTTTTTTGAGGTTGAAGAGCCTCAGCTATGTACCTCATCTCTCCAACACTCTTGTGACTTATTTTTCAGTCTTGGCAAGCAGCAGTTCCTGGATTAAACAATATTTGATTAGGTCCAACACATTGAGAACCGATGTGGAACTGTTAATATTCTAGTATGTTCATATTAATAATACACTAATACACTACACTATTACATTAATACATGGATGTGACCACACACTGTGAAATACACCCTTGGTGCCAGAAAGCTCTTTGACGTGAGGGAAGAAATAGTTTTTCTGTAACACACCTGGATCGTGCAAAGACTTGAGAAGTAGATGCTGAGCAAATTCCTGCCCACAGGTGGAGCTGGTTAATGATGTTTAACTATATTTTCTGTGGTTTAAATTTTAAGATTTCTTCTTATTTAATGTTGTAACAATTTTGTAATCGACATTCGGGTTTGGAAGGACTGGTCCTGAGGGTGGACTTAATGACACACCCAGACTGAAGGGACAGACTGGTTTCCAGAGTGTTTTTTTACAGTGTGACTCGTTGCAATATGCTGTGCACGAAACATTCCTACATGCTGTGTACCTCTGGGTATTTTATGCTCTCCCTCTTAAATAATTCTAGTACAGATGATATGCTACTGAGAAAGCAGGAATTGCGTATGTATGTATACTATGTCTGTAACCAAGGACAAACAATTCCTTTGATTTTCAGTGTGTGTGGTTTCGGGTGCATTCATCCACTGTTCCCTGCAACACAATATAACAGAAAAGAAAATCCCGTATTTAGGAAAGCACATTTGAAGCTCAGTTTAAAACTTAAACAATTTATGCCCAAACAAAATCACCCAGATTGTACAATTCACCTGCCCTTTATGAACAACATTGCAGTGAATGATGTCCTACCTGCTGGGAGCTGTAATCAGATCACAGATGGAGATCCATATTCGATGTACAACTCGAATCATGCACACTTGATCCCCTTGACAAAACCAATGAGAACTGTGGGTCATTCTTATTGTTAGCAAAAGCTGTTCAGTGTTGCCTGCCTTTCAATGTGGAATTTTTGATACCCCGTAGGTAACTAATACCTGTGAGGCAATTTGCCACTGTGGCAAAATACAGTACTTTGACTTTGTCAAAATGCCCTTCTTGCAATTTGTTCCAGTTTATAGATGTGTCCAGATTGTAAGTGAACATTTTAGAGCAGCCCCACCATAAAAACTAGACATTCCAGCAGAACCACATTTGTTTCTGAGTTCTAGAGGATTCTCTATTCTCCAATGAATTCAATTGCAAATTTATATTACTATAAACATAATAATACTTGAAGTTAGTATAGTGCCTTATCACATTGTCAAAGTCCTGTAAAATGTAGTTATTGTGCATTTTGTACAGAAACACTTTTTAAAATATTGAAAGTATATAATTCACAAGTCTGGCATCAGTGATCTGTGGATAAACAATGGGCAATTTACTTCCTTAGAATGTAATTTGCATATGCAGATTAACTCAGATATTATAAATTAGTATTTGTTATGAAAGCCAATATAGTAACTATTCCTTGCAGGGACTGCGTTATTAGGATATATGATTAATGCTCGTGAGTTCAATCTGCTTCGCATAATTTTTTAAGTGACTATACAGTTCATGTTTCGTAATGACAATTATTTTCATAATACATAAAAGTTAGCTGTCTAATTAAATCAATTTCCAAATGTAAATTGGGCATAATTCATACCAAGCTGTTGTGGTACCCCAATTGTATACCAAGTGTGCTCTTCAAGGTGTTATCGACTTGGAAAGCAAACTATTTTTAGTCAAACCTAATTAGCAGATATAAATTATGTCTAGTGAGTATTATTAATTCATCTATTGCTAATAGTGTAACATTCACTCTCTTACTTTTAGGATTAGGGCATTTTTAATTAACGTAATCTATAATTTAATTTAATATGCTCTATGGTTATTTTTGTTTAAATGATTTGTCACAGGATTTTATTCTCAAATGGTCTTTTTCAAAAAAAAGTGTAACAAAGTCCAGAAACCACAGCTCTCAGCACACCCAGCAGGATCTCTAAAGGTACAGTTATAAATAAGAATGTATCTTCACTGTTCGTACATAGAATTCCATACAAAGAATCCAGAGCAGTAACATTGGAGTCACTGGGGCTCTACTCGTCTATTTTGATGTTTATACGCCACATGATCCTTTATTTATCCTTATTTACATCCCCCTCCCCTCCCATGCATCCCCAATATTCTTTTATTGCATTCTGTCTCGGATTTGTTCAACATAATAATGATGATAATCCTTGCATTTGATATGTAGTTGTCTCAAAGCACTATAAAGGGTAGTAATTTTGTATTTTCTCAGCAATACTCCACAAACAACTGTAAGTGAGGACCAATTTTATTGATTAAAAACAGTAGTTACTGGGAACGCTCAGCAGGTCAGGCAGCATCTATGGAGAGAGGAAAGTGAGTTAACATTTCAGATCAATGACCTTTCGTCAGAACTGTGGGATGTTGGAAGGGAGCAGTTTATAAGGACGAGCTGAGAAGGCAGCGGGGAAAGTCAGACAAAGGAAAGAATTAGGTGGAGGACAGATGCTGAGATCAATAGTGGGAGATTATAGAAAGAAAAGATGTGTCTGAGACCTAGAGGATGTGTGAATGGTTATAGAAGAAGGGGAGTGGGGAGGCAAGGCCGAGAGAAGATAGGAGCTGCGTTTAGAGATCTGAATTGTTTAAAATCAATGTTGCGGTCAGAGGGCTATAAGGTGCCTTTTATTTGGGGCTGTAATTTTGCCTTTGATTTTGGGGATTGTTGTCCAGGCCACTGGGAGAAATGCCAGTTATAAGTTTTTGAAACGGATAAATTCAGGGAAACATCTGCATTATTAAAGCCTCAAAATTCCACTTAGTTTTGCCTGTAATACCATTTTGTTTTAAATGTTAAGGTTGCACAGAATTGTGAAAATTCAGTATCTTAAATTCAGTCTTAATGGAAGCTAGTTTTAGGAAGAACTTTCCAATTTAATGAATGAATTAAAGAAATGGCACTCTCTTATATTGTGAGACAAAATGGTTTTGCAGTCTGAGACCAGACGGAATTTCAGGCCTTATATCTGTAACTTCCAATCCTGTGTCTCATTATAAGAAAATATGTTTACTGAATGTTCTAATAATGCTGAAAAAATTACTGTCTGTGCAATTGATAATCTTACTAAAGAATTTGTAATTAAATCACATTTATGTAACTGTAATTCCAACACAGAGCACTGAGCTACTCTCTCATGGGTACAGATGGTTCAGGCATCAATCAGTGTGTCCAGTGGGAGTCTGACTCATATATTCCCAGTGACCTTGCGTAATATCAGTAGTTCCAAACCCCGGCAGCATAAGCAAGAATGCTTACACTCAACACTGTCATAACAGATTGCCCGAATGGATTTGCCTACCTTAAAATAATTTCAAATGCTTCAACTCGTGGGACTCAGTTGTGAGTTAGCTCAGTCACACCTTGTGCACCCACAATCTTACTTTCTGCTATTTCTGCCTTTCTATTTCTACCATGAATGCAGAGACAACATTTGTACACTGTTTTGCCATTCACGTCTACAAACAGGGGCTGCAATTTTTTAATTTTTCAAAATTTATATGAAGGAATCATTTTACTTCTGAATTCAATTTCCATTTTGCACTAACAATAAACTATACCAGAGGACAGTGTGTTAATCATGTATAACTGGAAGCAAGGACCTAATTTTAAAAGGGTCATTTGTGGGACAAAGAGTCTCAGTGTCCATCAGCCTGATCATTAATAAGTTTGAAAAAATAGTTATAATTATTATCTATTTTTTCAAACTTATTAAATTGGAGAACAAATTTGGGTTTAATTGGATAGAAAAGATTGGTGGATAATGGTTCAAAATTCAACTGATTTGATTAATACAGTATCACCATGAAAGGCAATGATGTGTGTGACTTATTTTTTTGATAGATATTACTTTATTTTTCTCCGCCACTGGTCATTTAGTTGCATTTCACCCTTTCCAATTCTTCTCTTACAGACAGATAGGCGATATGTAATTTCACAGTCTCACAAACCGTCTAAGCCAGCGAAAGATTCCCTTCTGATCGAACAAGTCTTCAGCCCACATGTTTACCCCAATTCCATGAAGTCACACATGAAGAGCAATCCACTGTACACAGATCTCCGACTGACAGAACTGGTTGAGCAAAAGCGCCCTCATCCATCATGGACAATTGAAGAATACAACAGACATGCAAGTGATAAAGCAAAGTTAGCTGCTTTGGAAATTCAGGTGAGTAACACCTCTCCTTTCATTGTTGGTTCGCTTGGTGCGGACAGTGTTGTTTCAATTTCCATCTGGAAATCGTTGCTTCTTAGTCTTTTTCAAATCAAAGCATCTGACAATGCTGGACTAACAACAACGACGATGTTCATTTATATAGTGCCCTTCACACCGGACAATGTCTCGGAGCGCTTGATAATTCCTAATAATTACTATTAAGTGTAGTGTAGTTTCTGTGCGCAAACATACCAGCCAGTTGCGCCAGTAATGTGCCACAAACAGCAGTGAGTTGAATGACCATTTCATGATTTGGAAGATTGTTGGCCATGACACCATTGGAAACAGCCATGTCTTTTTTTATCCTCTGAATAATTCAATGGAACCTTTAACATCCCACTGAACAGCCATGAAGTTATTATTTAAATATCTGTTCCTGAAACAATTTTATTTGGGTCTAAATGCATACTCATTAATCATTAATTTAATCTGTAAATGCTCATCTACAGCTCAACAGATGCATATTACTTTTAGTTTATCACACATTATCCTGGATAAATCATGAATGACTCATAATGCCTTCAATACAAGGGTGTCAGGAGGGTGTCATCTCTTTACTAGTGACAACCTTACAGATGGCGATCTCATTTATCCTCTATGCCCAAGTCCCCACAAGCCCTGCAAACAAAGATGTAGCGATGCTTACATTTCACACAGGTTATAGTTGAAGAAATTTTGGAATTCTGAAGCAACCATTTTGATGCCTGACTAGGCAGATTGGACCATGTATCCCGGTGAAATGTGCACACAGAATGCTAGTTTGTATATTCCACAGCACAGTTACGGAGAAGGATATTCATTCAGATGAGATTCTGAGCTTCAAGTTTTTCTAATGAAGGATGGGCAAGGCTGGCAGAGCCTGGCTGCAGTCCCTGACTGCAATGTGGAGAAGCCACATGTTCATCTGATGTTTTTTCATATTGTTACCCTGAGTAAGAAAAAGCAGATTCATCTCAGCAATGAGCTGCAGATTGTGTCCCATTTTATTTGCCTCTTAGTCTGTGAATTACAGCAAACAGAATCTTAGACATTACTGGTAATTATTTCACCTTTTTTCCTGTTTCTATACAATCATTAAAGACAGCATACACCCACTTAGACTCCTCCTTTATCATACCCTACAATGTAGTCCGCAAAAGAGAATGGGCAGAAATATTATCTTTTTTGGACAAAACCTTTCACACACTAGTTTCCTGGTGCAATATACAGTCAATGAAAATTCAACAGACGGAAATTTCTGTTTGGGCAATCTACTGTAGTGTCAAACTATGAATCATGGAGAGACTAGTTTCTATCCGGGGTACATTTATATTCCCACCTGTTCTTTCCTATAATGGTGCAGATGCCTATGTCAAAAACCCATGAAGCGTAAATAAGTGTGATTGAAACACATTTCTTTCCTTCTTGTGCTTGTGTTAATGTGACATGTGTCACTTTTACAATGCATTACCTACCTTGACAGTGTGAGTACGAACCTTTCTTGGCTTAGGTGTTTCTTAGCTTACATCCCCTTTGTGTGTCTTGCTGCTTGCTACTAGTTGAGGCATCAGAGGGCGGTGTGCTGCTGTGTGGGATTACTCGTAAGTACTGGCTCGGGGATGGAAATGTGCAGTAGGAAAAGGCTGTTTGATTTTACAGTCCACGTACAAACCGTGCCATAATGGATTTCTGCTGGAAACATTTAATTTCCCAATGGGAGATTCTGCACCGTTCCTTCCTCCCATCTGACCTAAAGTAAAATCGGTTGAAATTGAGAATATCTATCTTATGTCAATCATTTTTGAATGGTGGCCTTCTGGAATATAATGTTTTGATGAATCCAGTAGTTTGTCATCATGGATTGTGAGCATCTAGACATGCAGCAAGCGAAGTTTGAGATCCAGGGCCAATCTGTGAGGTGGATCTGTGGTGAAAAGAAAATCTCAGGAGGAAACTCTGAGGTTTGGGATGAATCTGCTGGAAGGCATTAGCTAGACTGTGCGTTTGAGAACACACATTCCTATATCTTGGATTCAGCAGCTAACCTGGTGAGAATGTAGAGTGTTAAGAATCTACAGCTGGTGGGTCACCATTCGATGGGCTGGCTTTGCTGTGCTCTGGAGGATGTGGCAATGCCTTCACAGGATTTATGTACTGCTGTGTTGCTCTCCAGCAGACCTATGGGGAAGAGGCAGGTATGGGTCAATGTTCCCTTCCTCCTGCATTATCAGAACATTTTAGAGGGTTGGATTGACATTCGGAGAGGCAAAAAATATAAAAGAGCAGGGAATTGGGGATTAGAGTAGTTAGCTACAATGGATAAATTGGCATCAGCATAGGCTCAATGGGCTGAATGGCCTCCTCTTATGCTGTAATTTCCATGACTCTAAGGAGACAGCATTATAAGTAAGCAGTCTGTAGCACCAGCTGCTTTAGTACTAACAAAGCTAATTGCAGGTGTGATTGAGAATCCAGTGAGAGTTGCCTTTGGGTTTTAACAGTGAAAGCAGGACTAGTCACCACACAGTCTTATAACAACTCGCTCACATAATCTAAAATCTTTTCTAAATTCTAAGCAGAATGTGCTCATTTTTTTCCATTGGTTTATTCTCACATTTTTCGCTAGGCAGAAACAAAACTGACAAAGAAACCCAGAAAAAAAACCGAATGATCCTTCACGACCTAAAATGCAGCGTTGAAATGGTCAGCAATTAACTCAGTCGCGGGAGGTTGCTGCCTTCCCATCAATAGTCAGCCACTGTTAGCAGCTCAGCTGAGGGAGAGGATAGGCTGACGTCCCAAACAATTGAGATAGGGAGAGCAAGTGTGTTAGAACTCTGCTATGGGAATCACTGGGAGAGCATCAAGCTCTCAGACTCTGCCATTTCCCAAAGTCTACTGCATCAGTACAATGGAGTGGGGTGGATGCATCAGTACAAGGGAACAGTGGGCTCCAAACATCAGGAGATCCATTAAGGGTCCAAGGTAAGGGTCTAATGGGACATTTACTGGGAGCCCAGTACCACTTGTGTTGGGGCTCTGGTCTTTCTCGACTCTTCCACAGTGTTCAGTCAGTCTTCAACTTTTCACAGTAACCTAAGACTTGAGCCATATATTTAAACTCAGAGCTGAGGGCTCAACAGTCGGTGTGAGGTACATTGTTTTTTTCCAGCAGGAGATAAAGTTTACAATCGTGTGGAGATTTTTCACCATTTAAATCCACTTTGAGCACCTTTGCAACTCTATGGTATAATCATAACGACAAGATAATGATTTCAGGTGCATCAGACGATTTATTGTTTCATTTCAGAACCAAGAATCCTTGAACCCAAATAACTTGGAATACTGGATGGAGGACATATATACACCAGGTTATGATTCCTTGTTAAAACGTAAAGAAGCTGAATTCAGAAGAGCAAAGATCTGCAAGATGGCTGCCTTAATTGTCGCAGCAGTTTGCACTGTCATTCTGGTAATTGTCGTCCCAATTTGCACAATGAAATCCTAATGCTTTTATATTCCGTCCATTAAATAAAGTGATTTAAAAAACAGGTCTTAGATGAATAGGTGCATTTTCGGTAGAGTTCATTTTGTGTGTTGTGTAAGTGGGTTAACAAGATTAGATACTGGGCTTTTTAAGGTAAATTTACAGTGATAGAACAAAATTATTGGAAAAATACCAAAATTCCAATTACTGGGACAAAGGTACTTTTTTTTAAAAGCCCTTTGAGAAACACAACACCCTTTTGACACCAAAAAAATAACAGATTTTGAGGGTTTTTTAAAATTTGTTCTGAAAATATTTGGAATTAAAGTGTTTTGTGGTTCAGTTTATTTTGTGTTTTCAATTTATAACAGTCGGTAGTGGAAATTTACAGGCAATTGCTTTTCCAGCTCCAGATTTTTAAAAAAATCGTGCACAGTATTTTGAAAGCTGTCAGTATTTACAACAGATATAAAGGTATCTGTGGATTCTGACTGACTGAACTTTAAAATCCGAGTTTTGAATGGACTTGTGTGCCCAGTTGCCATCAATATAAAATATTGCCTTTTACCTTAATTCTTCTCATTATTAGACATTTCTGAGAATTTTAAAATGTTCTAGTTATTGTCTTTTGTTGCAACATTCTGCCTTAAAATACTCAAATATTGTTTTACAAATATATTACAGATGTTCTATGCATCTGCAGGTATCATTCACTACACAAAGGGTTACAAAGGATAATTGCTACTTCTTTTAAGGAATGGAAAGAAACTCAGGGACATTCGTAGCCTCCAAGTACACAAGTCAATTCAATTGTGTGATTCAAGCTTCTTACAACTATTAAAAGTTCCCTCTCCCACAACTGCAATGTAAGAGAAATAAAAGCATTGATTTAATTTACTTTAAAAAGTTGTAATCTTTGTTGTGACTTATTTTAAAGTGTTATTTAATTTTTATATCAGATTAGCGGTGTTGCATAGAAGTCATTGTATAAATTGCAGCAATTTGATGGCGTTAGGCTGGTTCCCATGACCTGTAGCACTTGTAGTTATTGCATTCAGATATGCATTTATGCAAGAACTCAGGTTTGGGTTAAGCGCATGGGTGAAAACATCTTAAAAATTAAAGCAACTCTTAATGCTTAACTTTAAACTAAATAAGTCGTCTATTCTCCCATCAATTTTATAGTCTGTGAGAAGACATTGCTTTATCCATAATACAGGCAAAACTCAACCAATTTTGCTTGCAACACATATTGGAAAATAAAATTTCCTTGCAACTGTCATCCTGAAATAATATGAAAGTATGTTTTAAAGTGTCTAATCTTGTAATCCCTCCTGTGAAAACTGTGATGATTATAACTGAACTGAATAATTTTGTAATATAGTCACAAATGAATGTAAGCAATTCTTTGAGTGAATTGTACTTGAATGTATTAAAGTTATTCAAAGTATACTCAACTCTGATCTATGTGGTCGATGTAAATCATCTTATTTAATATGTCACTTTTAATAGCATAACTGAATGGTGAATATTGGATCATTCGTTAAAAAAGAATTCATGATTACTACATGGAAGGTCCTGAGAACAACAAGAACAACAACTTGGCCTTGTATAGGTAGTGCCCATCTCGCTGGGTAGCTTCTCGGAGTGTTTAACAGTGGCAGAGCCTGATGCCGAGCCGACTATAAGCACAGAGGAAGGGGAAGGTCTTCGAGGAAGGACAACCTAAAAGAGACAGTTTACAGATTGTTTACAGAGCTTGATTGTCACAGCTCAAGAAAACACCAATCAACAGGCTTGGAGGAGAGAGGTTTTTAAAAAAAATATATTATAATGCCTTTTGAAATGAAACATTAAACAGATAGATGAGGGTTTAACCAGGGGCAGAGCTCTGCACAACGAGCTAAGGCTAGTTTGATCTATGGAACATGAAATCAATTAGGAGGCCCTTGAGCCATGAGTAACTTTCTGGCTCTGACCACATGGGGAAATGCAGGTTTTTTTTTGCAGTTGTGCTTGAGAGAGTTTTTTCAGCTCTTAAATCAGTCTGTTGCCTGTGTTAGAGGTGCAATGCCTCCTTTACATTGCAACATGTTACCTCAACTGAGCACTTTTAACAATCCGAGAGTGCCACAGTCCTCGGCTGGACAAAAGTACTTATTTTTCCTGATTATTCTCCAGTTACACTTAGACTTGAATGCAGCATTTCCAGACAAAGTCTCTTCAAAGAGAAATGGTAAGTGCAATACAGTACTCGGGAAGACAAGAGGATTTTCTATGCTTCTTGTCTTGCATCCGGTTCCTGAATTCAGATCTTTCTGAACACGCACAAAAAAACTTTGATTCACTTAACGATTTACCCATTGAGTTGCTAGTCATCACTGGGTGATAAGGAAGGTAAAGTGTAAGATGAATTCAACATTTACTTACGTATCTTTTGTTAAAATTGTGAGGGGAGCGTTTACATACTCAAATGTCACTTCATAATAATCCTTGCATTTTAATATAGCACTTTTCACGTTCTCTAGACGTCTCAAATATGCTGTAAAGTGAATTGACTATATTTGTGGGCAAAACGCGGCAGCCAATTGCGCACAGCAGTTTCCCACAGTCGTAGATTGAAAATGACCAATTTTATTATTGTATTTTTTTGGAGGGATTATTATTGGGCGTGTGGAGTAAGGAAACTTGTCCAAGGTTTTGCCCTGCTTGTAATTGAACCCAGGTATCTCGCTTCCAAAGCGAGTGCTCTAACCACTGAGCAACAGGACTCCTCACTTGATCCCAATGTTGTCACCAATTACACGTCTGGTGCACATTAACGAGGTTAACCTTAAAAAATGGGAGTAATGTTAATGAATAAAACAAATTTTGGTGGTGGTAGGGTAGGTATGAAACATGCAGAAACCCATCACCATTTTTAAGAGTGTCCAAACCAGACTGGAAATTTCACATAAGTATATGTCACCTACACATGGAAATGTCCCTGTGTCTGCAATGGATTATGTGGTCTTCCTGGAGGGATGTGCCCTGTGTGCCACTGATGTTATGCAAATGACTGGAACATTTATGTTTCACCATCAAAAGCTACTTTCCCTTATTTCCTTCTTGCCTCAGGTTCTCCACTATTCCAATAGACAATCAGAAGTAAGATCTCTTTATCGCTGAATTTGTTTGATGGGAAACAAAAATAAATGTCATAATTAAATGGCCATGTGTGCGTGCCTCTCCCTTGAACAACAAGTGCATAGTCACAAGCCAGATAGTTTTTGGCAAGTTAATTGGAATCTGGCAAAGCATTAGGTGGCTGTGCATTGGGGCCGTAATGTAAATTCTCCATAAAAGAAGCAATCTGTTATGGAACAATCAGTCATGCTATAAAGGTAAAGCCTCCCTTGGAGCCAGGAGGACTGTTGTAAACATTTCGGGATGCCCAGTGAGTGTATCCTTAGAAGGATACTGTAAATAATTTGACAGGTGGTGGTAACAGTATAATGTTTATTTTATGAAACAAACAGTAAAGCTCACAATCTCTAATTAACTTTATGACATACACAATAATAATACAACACAGATGTAAGAAAGAAACACGTATCCAGACACTGTTTCGTACTTCAGACCAAACAGTAGACCTGGGATCATACCTTGATATACACTGGAGAGATCAGCCCCTGGAAATACTCCTCAGAGACAACTGACTCTCGTAATACCAACAGTAAACAGGGACTGGGGTCTGGTAAACTCTCGGACCCAACCAGTCATACACAAGAATAATTAATTGACAATAGTAACACCAAATCACAGAGAGTGGCTCCAGTAAACTCAACAGACACAACCAGCTATTAGTCCAGCACCTAACTCGTACTGCCTAACCTGATTTCTGGGTTTTCCTGGACCAACCACTACTACTGTTATTACTTCTCTGCCTAGCAAACGGAACCAAAACTGTATTACCCACTAGTCCTCCTGTTTCACTTTTAATGGTCACTTTCTTACCAGAGGTAAATTCCCTCACCCCTGTACATATACATAGGTACAGTAGAATAGCTATTGATTCCGCTGAGAAGTGTGCTGACCCTCTTCACAACTCCAACTATTTCAAAGTTACATCTTTCTTTAAGTGTTTTTAACTCCACCTTCCTTTGTCACAGAGATAACCCCCACCCTTCGCAGGCTGCTTTGCACAGAGAGAGAGATGGACAACTTCTGGACAGCCTTCCACAGCCTGCTTGTTTCTCAGCCTTGAGATAGGCGGGTGTCTAAGCCTGCAGCCTTTTCTTTCTGTGGTTCTTTGTTCTTACATCTATGCTCATTATCTCAGAGGAGTGAACAACTTCCCAGGAAAATATTAAATGTAATCAGAAGCTAACCTCAACTCATCCAGCAAAGCTACTTTTAACCATTTAACTATCAAACCTTCTGGAATATTCGGTTGCTGTTTGAAATGTACCAAGGCACCCTGAGGTGATAATCGGTATATTTCAACAATACTAGCTGATGGCAAGTGATACAGACAGTAAATTCCACGCTGTAAGTAATCATCATCAGTCACCGATGATTTGCTCAAAATGGTATGTGGAGAGGAGCATTGAGTTGGATGTCTCCTGGGAAAATTTCAGGCAAGATAGGTAATTCTTAGTCTGCATTACAACAATCTACCGTATTGTAACATTCTGGTCCCTGACCAGGACTGTTTTCCTCTTCCTTCATCACATCTCCCGCTTCCAACAATATCTCATACCTAATACAGCTAACACCCTTATCCACACATTTGTCATCTTCTGCCTTAATTTTTCCAATGCTCTCCTCACTAATCTCCATAGCTCCACCACTCATCAAATTTAATTAATTCAAAACTCCATGCCCCATACTAAACTCTGGACCTACATCACCCTGGTCCTTGTCAGGCTCCACTGGCTCCCTATTACAGAACGGAACAATTTCACAAATCATTTAATTCCCTGGCACCTCCCTAACTCTGACCTGCTTACTCCTCTAACCCCCCCCTTCGCTCAGCTGGCCTGTATGTCCCTCATCCCCTCTGCTCCACCATCTGTGGCATGTGTGGTCCACTACGCCCTGAGACTCATGAACTCTTTGACTCAATCTTTCCACCTTACCCCCTTTTTGTCTGTCTTCACGTCACACCTGAAAACCTTCGTCTTTGACCATGCTTCCAGGTACACTCCCTCCCCCACTCCTTTCCCTGGCTTGGGGTCAAACTCTACCACTGTTAAGGTCTTAGACACCTATATACATACAAGTTGTTGTTAGTATTTGGATTGCGTGAACTTAGATCATGTAAGGAAGAATGGATCTGAATGGATGAACAATAGACAGCTCGTAGAGAAGTGAATGTAATACCAACTTCCCGTGATTCAGAGCAAGGTACGTAGTTTGCACACAACATTATGATGGGAAGAAATGAGAGAACATAGTGAAGATCTTTCGAAGAAGGTTTAGCAAGGTATATATCTGGGCTGATGTCTGGCAAATGTGTTACGATCAAGTTTTATAGTTCTGTGGTCAGGTTGACCTTGTTGTGCGTATCGTAAAACCACCCAAGTATTATAGACGTTGGATTTCAGTGCTGACCTTGAAATCCAATGTTAGAAATATGAGATAAGAGAAATGATTAGATAAACTAGGACTCTTCAGCTTCTTTAAGAAACTAAAGGCATAAAGATAATAAACCGATACACTAAAGCAGTGTGACAAACCCTCACAGGTTTAGGGTTATGAAGGGCAATTTTGGACCAATATCAGAAAATATTGTGTAATCAATACGCAAAGTGAAAAAAAGTCCATAGCAAAAATTAGTTTAAGCAATTAAGTAGAAAAAATATTGAAACTAATCCTTCAATGGGTTCAAGTTTAAAATAATTTTATGGTGAAATGGGATGAGAAGAATTATCTGGATTAGGTTTTTAGTTATGAAACCATTTTCTCTCCAGATAGCTTCTTTAATGAATAAAAAGTTCCTGAAAATGAGATTATTTTAGTGTAATTATGTTTAAGAATTACAAGAATGATTTTTAAAAAATTAACTATTTCAAAGTATGTATTTAAAATTCCAGTACTTTAATTCACAGCCACTAAAACATTTAAAGATTTTATTAGCATTTTAATAAGACAATCTCAAAACGTTTTAGAATTTCTTTGTTTCAGTCAAACAATTGTACCCACTGCTAAACGAATATATTTTAGACTATATTGCAATAAATTGTTCAGAGATGAAAATAATTGCTGCTCGATTCAAGTGCACAACTAAAGGAGAATTTAATCTTGATAAACCGATTGGCTCAGTTCAACTTTTAAAGTATGATACCAGTCCTCTGCTATTCGTTTTCTCCATGTGTTCTCCAAATACATATATATATTTATTTTCTGCATGAAATTAAGCCC